TGGTGTACTGGACTGCACATCAAGCAGTCTTTGGTTTGTTCTTGTGCAAGGCACTTGACTCTCACAGTGCCTCTCAACACCCAGGTGTACAGTTGGTACTTGGTGAATTCAGTGTTGGGGGCTAAACCTGCGACAGATGGTGGGGAAGGGGACAAAATTATAATACTTTTTCACTTCATACTTGCAAAACCCACACAAGCTGTGGTGTTTTGGATCACTTGGTCTGACACAGATTCTACGGTACCTTCATTCGCAAACTTCTCCCCAAGTAGGGCTGAATTTTTTTACACAACTGATGACTTACTTTTGTGTAGTTTGTAAAACTTAAGGGATAAAGGCTGTCATAAACTTAAGATTAAAACATTTCCTGTTTCTTACTAGATACAAAATAGAGAAGCAACAATGAAAGTACAGTATGTGCTGAGACTCGAGAGGACAAAGAATCAATTGGGACATTGAGTCCCTTGTAAGGTGAGTCATAATTTTCTTTTAAAGGAAGAGTTTGGGTTAGGGATGTGGCCATACTGCACTTTAGACCTTCAAAATTCCTTAAAACTGTAATGCCAGGGATACCATTGTATTCTTTTGAGAGTTGTGGGACACAGAGATTTAACAGCTGTTACAATGTACATCTAAGCACACTGCATGGACTGCAGATCAACAAGTCTGGGTTTGAGCTAATGGTTAGGGTTTCTGTTGTGTTCTTGAGCAAGACAGTCTTTACTCTCACACTCTCTATCTCTCCACCTAAGTGTGCAAACAGGTACTGGGTAAATTTAATCTGCATGGGTGCTAACCCTGCAACAGACTTGCATCAACTCATCCCATGCCATCATTGTCAAACCTTGCCCCCATAGGGTTGAAACAATTAAAAATCTGATGATTTTTTTATAATTGTTTGGTTCTGTGAAACAGACAGATTAGCATCCCATCCAGGGGGGAGTAGAACTACTCAGTATCACTTAATGCAACAAAGACTGGGTTAAGCTGTGGTGGCTTAGATCACTTGGCCTGATACAGACTTTATGGTACCTTCTAGTCCAAACTAGACTACAGTGTATGAGTGGTCCGTCTTTCCTTAGTACGTCATGTGTGACTCGAAAGAAAACCACGAGATAAAATGGCTGTGCGAACTCCTGGAGGCGAAAAGCACTCTCCCAGGATTTCACGTGGCCATTTTTCCTCACGGTTTATTTACAGTCTTGCTCAATGGACTAAGTGAAAGAGGGACTACTCATAGCCTAAGTCCAAACTCACCCTAGTAGGGTTAAATCTTTATAAATCTGTGTAGTTTGTAGAACTTACACTATCAGGGAATTACATAAAGTTAAAACATTTGCAGTTTCTTACTAGATACAAAACAGAGAAGCAAGGAAAAGAGCTATGTGCTGAGACTGAAGAGGAGAAAGAATCAAATTGAGACACTGGATTCTTTAGCAGGTCAGTCACAATTTTATTTATATTTGGTATCATGGACGAGGAATAATAATAATAGTAATAATAATA